TATTGGTATCATTTGAATTGATTCTATATCTGTATATAGTATTTAAATTAAAATGTTGTTAATTATTAAGTTAATACTTTTTAGCCAGTTCAAGAATCTTATTTGGTATAAGGTCATAATTATTTCTATGTGATATCATTGTTATCATCACATCACAGGGGGGCAATATTCTATCTAGAATTTTTTAAGATATTGATTGGAAAATTCTTATTGGTAACATTCTGATACATCTTGCTAATTTGGTAATGCATACAATATTCAAGGTTCAAATGCATATTTATATGACCAGGGTGAATGCTAAAATAAGAAATAGAATAAGTTTTATAGATTAGATCAATAGAAATATATTAAAGTTAAATCTTTTTAATCACTATTACCATGCGGGTCAAGATGTTTAATATGATTAGTTGTCATGATAATTATCGTGCCTTCTGATAATATTTGTCCATCCAAACATTCAAGAAAATTAGATAAACTTATAAATAAAAATAAATTCTTATATTTTGATAGATCATCATTTTCTTTTATAAAATCTTCAGATATAAAGTTATAATAATTTGGGTAGCTAATATCTTTTTTATAAAAAATATTTGATTGTGTATTAATATTTTCAAGAACAATTATTTGATTTGGTAGAACAGAACTAAAAGCAGTACTCATATTATTATCATTTTTAATTTCTTTGAGATTAAGATAATAGAGATCTTATGACAAATAAGATGATATAGCATTTATTAATATAGTTTTTCTAGTTCCAGATTTACTATGTAAAAGAAAACCACGTCAATAAGGCAAACCAATTCTTTTGTAAAACTCTTTGTCATTAACAAAAGAATCTAATTCTCTTTTCAATAATATTTCTTGTGGTTCATCTAATACAATAGTTTCCAAACTATTCAAGTCTGATAAAAGTTGAACTCTGTTCCAATTTCCTTCATTATACTTATATCAAGCACACTTGTGATTTTTTTCTTTCGTTCTAAAATAAGAATTCGTTACTTTACTAATGAATTCAGTAATTGCATTAATGTCAAGTTTGTTATTTGAACTTGAGTTATTATTAATAACTAATAAAAAAATAGAAGGCACTAGATCTGGTTCTTTATAGTAGTATAATTGAGGTTGAGGATAACTTTGATTATTATTGTTATTATTTTCTTGCAATTTATACACGATATTGAATTTACAACCTCTATATTCTATATTAATTTGTTGTTTTTTTTCAGGCAAAATATTAAAATCTGGTATTTCATATCTTTCATACTTTTTATTATTAGCAGATTGAACAATAAATGAACCATTGTAAGATAATTTATGATAAAGCTTCATATAATAAATTTTTTTTCTTACCATAAATACCTAAAAATTTAGTGCTTTTGAGATTTAAAAGGCTTTATTGTAGAGAAAATTATACTCAATCTACCTTTAATATAAGGTTCAATTTGCACTGTTAATAAACTTCTGAACTGAAACATCTGTAGCAAGAAACAAGAAGTATAGATCAATGTAGTAATATTAATGTAGTCATAAATATATCCATAGCAATTATTCTAAAGAAATATGGCTCAAGTTTTGAAGGGAGGAGCCATGCTAGTAAGACTGCTTGTAATTGTTCACAGAAAAAAAGATTAATAAAAGATCTAAAAATCTCTTTAAAGTTATCTATTTTTTGATAATCGAGGAATAGTTAAGTTGAAAGAGAAACTATTAACATTAAATTTTGTTTCTTTACCTTTTTTTTAATTGAAAAATCAATTTAATAATTTTAATTTATAAATATAATTATAATAAATTTCAATCAATTTTATTGATTGAAATTAACAATATAATGTATAAGGACTTTATAAATAATATTAACAATAAAAAAAGAGTAAATAATACAGTAAAATTTTATGTGAAAGGGTGTGGTGACATAGTGCAGTTGGCAAGTTGTCACCCCCCAAATGGCAGGTCTAGGGTTCAAATCCTACTGGCGACAATTTTGAAAATTAAGATTTGTTTCGGTAATAATTATTCGACGATCGGTTGGGTATATCACCTGTAGTCTTGGTACCA